ACTATCTACCAGCCTATCTAAAACACGGGTAATGTCCGCTACCTTCACACCAGGCAGGTAAGTCACTATACGGTCAGTACGCGGGTTCGCCACCCAGCTGTCTACCTGCCTAAGGATCGAATCACCAACTACCAAGAGCCCCCCTCCCACCCTGCCCAGGGAGGATACCCGCTCACCAGCTGGGGAAGAGGTCCCTTCTGAGGGCACATTCCCCTTATCCTCAGCACGGTGCCCTGTTTCTCCTTGACCCTCATGCTCCCTGACGGTGGTGGGGCTGCCAGATCCAGAGTGGGACATATCTAACAAGTCCCCGAGAGTCTTTTCTGTGCGCCTGACTCTCTCTGCTTCTCCAGGTCAGCCACCTTGGCCTCAAGGGAGCACACACGTTCCCTGAGAACCAGGAGCTCCCTGCACCGAGCACACACCCAAGACTTCTGTCCAGTGGGCAGATAGTCATACATGTGACACTGGATAGCCCCCAACCCCCTGCTGGCATTCTGGTTTCATAATTCTTTTAAAATAAGTAAATATAATCCCCCTTTTAAAACCCTTTGTATTTTTGTGGTTTTTCTAGTCGAAGTCAACTTACCTTACAGGGAAGACAAAGAGCCTAGGGCCTTGGCTTTCTGCCTCTTCTTGGGCTTCTTACAGAGCTCGTAGTCTAAGAGTCCCTAGGCTAAGAGCCACAGGCAAAGAGCCCTTTAGCTCGCCCTTCAGCTCGTGCCAGAGGCTCATGCCTCTGGCAAGGTGCTTTATTAAATACTGAATTACAGTCAATCACAGTCACACAATGCCCCTTCCTCTCCCTCTCGCAAGCAGCCAGGACTCTGCAACAACTCTAATCGCTTTCACACACTCCCAAACACAGTCCTCCCACACATGTAACTCTCTTCCCAACTGGTAGGACACAAGCATTGTTCTACCAAGCATATCCTCTCTGCTTTAATTAAGCTGATCATAACATGAATTGTACCTCTGCATCCTTTAATAAACATTCTTTACAGTACCCCTCCTGCCTCCTGACTGTAAGAGAAAGACTCAGAGATCTCCATTAATACTCATGTCTGATGGAGGGAAATTTGACTCTCGAAAGTTCCATCCCCTGAAAATCTAGTTGCTCTCTGAGGTGCTACTGCATTCGGAACTAGGTGTTCTATTGCAGATACAACACACAGCTACCCTCTGAAACTATTTGATGAAGACACTGCGAACCTTGCTGGAGCGGTGCTGTGCTGGTGCTGGGATTCTGAGCGACGGGCTGTGCTGAGCTGTTGGCCGTGGTGGCGGTGACAAGCCGGACATAATGGAATTTGCTCCCAGGTACTTGGATCTGCTGGACGTTAGATGCTGTTGCCAAGGGAATGATGGTCTTAAACTGGGACGTACTTACTCCCCCCACAGTGAGAGTCTGCACTGCAGATTTCACAGCCTGTTAAACAATCACAATTGTAAAATTACTTCCACGGCTTTATTCCATTACCCTCTTTCTTTGATAGATTACAAAACTTATTTTTAAAAATTTATAAACCTGTCTTTTTGCCCCCACGAGGGCCACCAAGGCAGCTAACAAATTAAAACATACACAATAAAACCACATTTTATAAACATTAACGCCCCCAAATCATTATCCCATAACGTGGGTCAGTATTATTCCCCTTCACATTCCAGATTAAAGCACTGAGAAGGAAACATTTAAACTCTGCTATGTGTTCTTATCATTATTAGACCAGATACTATTTGTTGGCCTGACGTCAGCGTTTGTCATTTGCTTTGGGCTTCTTTTCCTCACGCCCCTCCATTTGGGCTCATCAACATGGAAACGAAACACTAGTCAACACAGTGTTTGAAATCATACAGTTTGGTGCTGCATGTGAGAGGAGAGACACGAAAGGAAGTAGCAGCAGCCAGCACAAGAATAAGGTGAGCATACCTGAGCGGTTGTATTGTTAGTCACTGCCTTGCCTGGGGAAGTGGGTGTTGAATGCTGCACTGTGAGAATCTGCTGTCCCAGGGCTACGTTGAGAGGAACACTGACCGCTTTCTGTGGGGAATTTGGAGGCTGCGAGGCGACCGACACCACCGTTAGCTGTTTTAACAAATTGACGACACCTCAGATAAAGTGTTCTACAGCAAGCAGTTCCATACAGTAGCAGCTCCCTTCAGCTTGGAAACACAGTGGAGATGCACTAAGGTCAAGGAGATTTTTATGTCTTTCATTGAGAAAAAGCAATGCAGCCTAGTTAGATTTGCAGTAGCAAACTGGCATGATGTACAAGATGGCCCAGTTTAGATGATCTTCCAGTTCGGAAAACTGGAAATGAGTGTAGACTCAAGAAGTCTTCCCCTGCCCCTTTTAAACTATGGTTTGGAAAACTGGAAAGGAGTGTGGACTCAAGAAGTCTTCCCCTGCCCCTTTTGCATGCAACTTCACTCTCAATTGTCCGTCAAACCCAGTTTGCCATGTCCTCTGAACTGGGAAACTACGGTTAGTGCCTTCCCTCCAAATCAGAAACTCACTTCAACAGATGAGGGTTTTATTTCCAAACATCACAGCAAATGACAGTGCTAAAACAAATTAAAGGGACACTAGTGTGAGAGGGGAGTAGGGAGGCTACGGTTTGTTCCTGGACCCCAGAATATGACTGGAACATTACCTTGACCTGAGCACAGACATCATCAGCACAGCTAAAGGCTGCAGCAACTTTAGAAAGCCAATGTCAGTGTTGCAAAAACATTTGATCTTTCTAGCTTGGGTACTACCATGCGAACTGGCAGAATGGCAAATACAGTATGAATAGCATATTTGTGTTTTCATTATCATAAAACAGAAAAGTTGGGAGGAAAAATAAGACAGGAGAAACATATCATCAGAACCAAGCATTCAACGTAAAAGTAGTCTGTTTGGGTACTCTGCTTGCATTTGCCAGGTCAATAGCTACTCACTTGGCAGCCTGTGGCAATTAAGACCAGCATCAGGTGATCAGACAGGAAAGCTGCTATAAATTGGAGGAGTTTTTCCCCCTTCAGGCTATACATGTGCCACAAAAACTAACAGAAGCGAGTGCAGGCAAGTGGATTTGTACAGATTTTGATGGATTTATTCACGAGGATGATTTAAGCCAGGGGACCCCAACCTTTCTGAGCCTATGGGCACCTCTGGAATTCTGACACAGAGAGGTGGGCACAGCTACAAAATGGCTGCTGTGGGAGGCGGAGCAAGCCGAAAAATGGCTGCCATGGCTTTCCTTCAGTCATGCAGATCCTTGTGCTGTGGAGGCAGCTCTTGCCACAGCCATGTTTTCAAGAACCTGCTTAGCCAATGAAACCGCCAATGTCCAATAAGAAACCTTGCTGGGCAAAAGCCCCAACAGGCCCCACCCACTTTCTTAAAACATTTGGCAGGCACCAGGTAAGGTGTTGGTGGGTGGCATAGTGAAACTGCAGAGCGGTCGGGTTAGAACGGATAAAAGGAAGTACTTCTTCACCCAAAGAGGGATTAACACATGGAATTCACTGCCACAGGAAGTGGTGGCGGCTACAAGCATGGACGGCTTCAAAAGGGAATTAGATAAGCATATGGAGCAGAGGTCCATCAGTGGATATTAGCCACAAGGTATAGCTAGGGGCTCTGGGGCAAGTGATGCTCTGTCTTCTTGGTGCTTGGGGGGGTCAACAGTGGGAGGACTTCTAATGTCCTGGCCCCACTGGTGGACCTCCTGATGGCACTGGTATTTCTGGCCACTGTGTGACACAGAGTGTTGGACTGGATGGGCCTTTGGCCTGATCCAACATTGGCGACTCTTATGTTCTTATAGTGCCCACGAGCACCACATTTGGAACCCCTGATGTAAGTTCACCGAAGAAGCAGCTCAAAGCCAGTTTCTAACTAGTTTTGATGAATTCTGGTCATTTATAGAAATGTAGCATAAATTTATCTGAAAAGCATCTTGAGTCTTTTGCTCATGTACAGGATTATATAAACCATAAATCTAAAAGATACACCACTCAGTGATACATTGGTCTGTACTGTTATATAGATCTAATCAATTGCAATGGTTTGCTGTAGATGGTAATCAATAAGGCACGTACCATCCACATATGCTACAGTGAGTTATCTCCAGCATAAGAACAGTAACGCATTAAAGCCACCTCTTATCGTAATTGGTACACAGCTTAGATTACATCAAACTGCAGGCAATACCAGGTCCCAGAAGCATTTTTTCCCCAAATTATTTATTTGATAATATTCGGAGAAGTCAGCTTCAGCAAAAGAAACTTGGACAGTAAACCTCTAGGCCTCATGGCTGTAGATTAATTGGAAAATGTGTGGAAAAGAAATGCTAATGGAATAAAAAAGCAGCTTGTCTTTTCACCTGTTGTGGATCTGAAGTCAATACGGTTTGACTTTTCAAGGAGCTAACATATATCTCCCATATTTGACGGAATCAGAGAATGATTATTTCTGTTTAAGAGAAACATGTCTTCCAGTTGCAACAATTTTTACACTGTGAAATCACCATACCCTTCATATCAATGGAATTATGATTATGAGAATGGTCTTTCAATATTTATTAACAGTGAAATTCAATAGCTGATTAGGGGCCATCCACAAAATGCTAAAGTAAAACAAATTAGCTTTGTTTTTTACCTTGTTAGGGGACTTCAGGGGGGAGATAGCAATTTTATTTGGTGTCTGCTGTATAGTAGAACTTAATGAAGTCCCAATAACTCCGCTTTCTGAGATAGTTATAGTTTTGGGAGGTGTTCCCGGATTAGTCTGTGACAGAACTCTACCTGCAGAAAAAAGCATCACAGCAAGCAATTTAGTAATCATAGTCTCTGAAGCCTTTTCAGTCTCAGCTACATGTGCTGAATATTAAATAACCTGCCAATTCACAGTTTCGTACCATCCCACAAGAGACACTGCCCGTTTCATCATTCTTCTCTTATCACAGATTAGACAATTCTCGGACTTCCTGAAAAACGGCAAGTTGTATTTGATAAGTTGCAGCGATTTTGAAAATTTTATGCAGAGAAGACATAGAAAAAGTTGGCAATATACCAAGCCACCATCTAACTGAAAAGTGGATGCTTCCAATTACAAAGGTTGACCATTTTTTTTACTAACTTCATTCTGCAACTTCACATGAACACATGAAGCTGCCTAATACTGAATCAGAGCCTTGAAAAGGTCAGTATTGTCTACTTAGACAAGCAGCAGCTCGCCAGGGCCTCATGCACAGGTCTTTCACATCACCTGCCACATGAATGCTTTTTAATTGGAAATGCCGGGGATTGGCCCCTCCCCAGCTTCATGGTTACCCCACCCCCGCACACACACATTTATCCTTTGTTCCCCCCTAATGAAGGAAGAGTTATGTAATAGAATAAAATTCTAAATAAAAAGGAGGGGAAAGCAACCTATGTATAACCTTAGAGATAAAATTCCACAAAGCCTGATCAGGGTGTAGATATGCACAGCTTTATCTTCCACAGCATTTTGTCAGCAATCAACTGCTGGACTGGGTGCGAGAAGGGTTCACTATGTGTCTCAAGGCGAGTTTGTGCAATGCTCAGACCATTGCTGTTTCCTTTCCAATTCTACTTCCAACTTTTATTACAGTGCCTACTAGAAGTCAGAGGGGAATGAGACACACAAATTTCTGCAGGCAGAACTCACCTTGAAGAATACTGGTCACTCATGTATACTTTGTCTCTTCCAGTACCTCAATCCATTCCCATTTATTGGGGGGGGGGGGGGGCATACCCTGGGAGTGTGGCTACATAAGTACCTACCAATCATGGGGCACAAAACATGATTTCCATAAAATGGAACCCATGGACTTGTACACAATTCTAAGGTCCAGTTCCACTACCCAAGAATAAAGAGGGTCACAGGAATTTAACAGCAGCCCTCTCACAAGTAAAACATGCACTCACTGGCTGAGCTATAACGTCCTTCTCCCAATCACTGTGGGACCTATTTTCTGAACATGTAGGAGAAAGACTTCCTGATGTTCCAGAACAAATATCCAACTCAAAAAGATTATTCAAGTTAGCAACAGAAAGCTTTTGGCAGATCAGAAACAACTCCCTTTCTATAGAGTTGAACAGCTGTGGTTAATCAGGTACCACCTGACTTCCCGCAGTATCATTTCTCACTATTATCACCAGGCTCCTAAGTGAACTCCAACTCTAATTCTAAATACTAGCGATCCCTTGGGATTTAAGAAGACTAAGTTACGATCAAGCAACTCCCAGCAGCTTTATCACAGGGTTGGACCAATCTTATGTTCAAGAAATCATGTAACACACACACTGGAAGTCACATAACTCTTTCACACAGAAATGTTGGTAGGAATAGAGTGAATCCTAAGCAAATTAACTATAGAAGCTTTTGGGTTTTATACCAGACCTTCTGTTCCACCAGTCATGGAATCAATGCACTTTGCTGCTACAATGTCAGACTACATGCACAAATGTGATACCACCCTCCCTTGTCCTGCAACCCTTATATGTTGCACTGTAGAAGCCCTGACCTGGGTAGCCCAGGCTAGCGCAGTCTTGTCAGATCTCAAAGCCGAGCAGGGTCAGCCCCGGCTAGTATTTGGATGGGTGACCTCCAAGGAATACCAGAGTCGTAGCATGGAGACAGGCAATGGCAAGCCACCTCTGAATGTCTCTTGCCTTGAAAATCCTACGGGGCCGCCATAAGTCAGCTGTGACTTGACAGCTCTTTCCACCAGTAACAACTGTAGAACCGCCACTGCCTTTCCCCAGCTTCATAAGCATAGATCTATATTGGCATATCTACTCATAAACCCACAGCAGGCGCAAACTCACCTCTTTAACCACTACCCCGAATGTGACAGGATGGTTAAAAGGCAAAAAAACCCCAAGTAACTAGTCTGTTAACTGCCTTTGAATATGCACCCTTCATTCCTCCTTGCCTGCTTCCTGTCCTGTTACTACCGAATATGTTCAGAAATCATTTATGGAGGACCAGTTCATGATTCTGAATATATGAGATATACAAACAGGGTTTTAAAGGAATATGATCATTCAACTTTTATGGGCCACGATGACACGGTTTGAAAGGTGTTGTGCTGAACAAACTGGTTATAATGCATGCTTGTCTGGAATGCAGGGTTTTAATATATACAGAACTGGGGTGGGGGGTGGTATGGAGTTGCCTTCTAGTGAATCAGACTATTGGTCCATCAAGGTCAGTGTTGTCTACTCAGACTGACAGTGGCTCTCCAGGATCTTTCACATCACCTCCTGCCTGGTCCTTTTTAACTGGAGATGCCCGGGATTGAACCTTGTTACCCTCTGCATGCCACAGCCCCTCTTTCTCATGACTGTATTAATGCCATTTAAATATCTCTCAGGAAGTTATACCTGCCATATTTGAAAGCGAGTTATCTGTATTTCTGGGTATGAGGTATAAGTGAAAATTAGCTTGTGTTTATTATCTGAACAATAGACTTTTTTGACGTCTGATGAATTGTTCAAATGTTAGCAAGATAGCAGCGAAACAGATCTAGGTGTAGTCAGAGGCATATTAAATGTGAATAAAATGTACATTTAGATATAGTCCTGGATCCATCAGAGGATTGACACAGATAAAAGGGGGGTGGAGTGATTTTTTTCTCACCCCCACTGCAGACCTCCAACTGATGCCTGATGCTGTACCTGGTGATCCCCTGTCCCTCTGAAACAGCACTGGGATGCAGTGGAAGGGCAGAGGAAAAGAAATTATGGTCAGCAGATAGAAATCCCTTGCATCTGCAGAAATTACTGGTGGATCCACATCACAAACTGCCATCATGTTTCTACAGTGCCTGCAAAATACACTGCTACCCAAGTCAATGGATGCTTCCTGACTGTTTGTATTTGTACTTTTCTGTACATGGCTGGGTTTTTGGTTTTTTGTTTTGGTAGATGGAACACAAAGCAGCTACTGCCAGAAATTTTGAAGGCAGCAAAGCTTTCTAGTAATCTCACTCCATATTTTTACACCAATCAGTGATTCTTTAAGCTGTACCCTGATGTAAGTAAAGCCTAGAGTTTAACACAATGGCAAACTTTCCAAAGCCTTTGGGATACATGCGATATAAATTAAAGCAAACTTTTTAAAAAGTCAGTTAAATATTTTTCTTTTTTATTTAATACAGGAGATAGCTTTTTTTCAACACCTGAAGCAAATTTTGAACTATAGTGTGAAGTATTAAAACAAAGTTATAGTACAGTAAACCAAGGAAAAGCTTATCTGATCTATCAGATAAGCAGACAGTTCATAGTAACTCAGGTAATTAGAGAAAAGGAAATCTTTTTTAGCACATGCAACTAGCCTGAATTAAGATTCTCTCTTTTAGAAAAGCAGAATTAGTTAATCATTTTATTTACATTTGTCTGTTGACTGCAAGAGATATGCTATGTTCCAAAAAATGCTAAGAAAATCTTTAAGAATAATTTTGTTGTGAAGAATTCGCATGGCATTGGAGAGAAGGCATATGAAAAAGAATTTAACATAATAACAACAGAACTGAAGATACAAAATTAAAAAGGCAATTAAAATACAGGCACAGATGAGCAACTGCAAACCTAAACACAATTTTGGTTAGTCTAAACTGAACATAGCTAATGAGGCTTTTTGTTCTGGTGTTGCTTTTACCATTGTTTTACATTATTGTTTTAAATTATTTAACTTACATGTTATTGTTGTCACCTTGTAAACCATCCTGAGCCCATTAGTGGGGAGAGCAGGATAGAAATTGAATTAAAAAAATAAATAAAATAAGTTCCCTTGCAACAAAAAAGGAAGTGGCATATTCCTGTAATATAATCTTTTTCTACCTATTAGAGCACAATAAAGTCAGACCCTAATCTGAACATCTGAGGAAAAAGTCCTTATCATTTTAAACACATTTTAAGCATTCAAAATCATCTTTCTCTTGAGATTCTGACATTTGACACACATTTCATCTACCCTGAGAAATGTTTGAGATGGGGTAGAAGATGAAGTCTGTGACTAGTGTTCTCTCTAAGCTGAGTTAGCGTGAGCTAGCTCACAGTTTTTTAGCCTCTGGCTCACACATTTTTGTCTTGGCTCAGGAAGAATGGCTCCAGAGCAAACTAATTTATGCAGTAGACAAATCACCTGCTCACAGCTTTAATGACAGTAGCTCACAAAGAAGAATTTTTCCTCACAGGACTCCATAGCTTAGAGGGAGCATTGACTAGGAGCCAAACATTCATGTACAGCAGGGGTCCCCAACCTTTTTGAGCTTGTGGGCACCATTGGAATTCTGACACAGTATGGTGGGCGCAGCAACAAAATGGCTGCCGCAGGAGGTGTAGCCAACCACAGCGGTGGCCACAGTTTACCTTCAGTCCCACATTGAAAATCCTTGTGCTGAGATGGTAACTGCTGCCAAAGCAACATTTTAAAAAATCTGCACGGCCAATCAAACCTCCATTGGTCAATCAGAAGCCTTACTGGGCAAAAGCCCCACCAATTTTCTAAAAAACACTTGTTAGGAACCATGGTGCCCACTGGGGTCATGCTGGGGACCCCTGATGTATTATATAAGTTCTTCTATGAAGCTGGAGGAGGGGGGAGGACTGCCAATTTCCCCTCTAACAGCAGAGACCTTTGCACCACATCAAGTGTCACTCTGGAGAATTCCCTGACCTTCCAAAACCAGCTTTTGGGGAGGAACCAAAAGGCAGTAATGGTAAGAGGACACCTGAAAAGTCCCTATGAGCCTGCTGCCCTTTGGTTCCCGGTTCATATCTACAACTCAGTTCACATTTCACACACACACACACACCCCAATTTAAAACAACCCTATGTAAGAAGCCACAAATATATAACCTGCAATGACTGGTGACACTTGAGTTGTCTGCCCTGTAACTGCTTTGCTGTTGATTGGTTTTGTGAAGATCAGCTTTGTGATCACCGGTGCTGAGGTGGGTGTTCCGGTTTTCTTCGCAATCTGAAAGGGAGGGAATTTTTTTTAAAAAAATCAATTTATTTAGAGCAGAAAGTATTCTCACCTATTAACACTGCACTGCTGCTTCCCACTCCTTTGCCCTTTATTCCTTCTGCCGGTCAGTGAAAGCCAGTGTCTATAGCCAGGGAGAGGCAGGCCCCTCCTAAGCCAAGCTGCTCAGTACACTCAGCTGAAGAACTGCAACACAATAAGTGAGAGAACACCCCAGAAGTCTCTGAGGTGTCCCTTTCTTTTTTTACCTCTGGGAGAAGCACCGACCACTTGGAAAGGATGCCTACACTACCTTTGGCCTGGGCAGCACCACCCCTGAGCAAAACCGTTCGGCGAACGTAGCCGTTTACAGACTCCAGAGGGGTGGCTGTGTCAGTCTGCTACGGCGAACACAAAAGAACACCATGGCAGCTTAAAGACAGATTTACTAAGGCATAAGCTTTCATGGACTAGAGAACCCGCTTCATCAGATGTCACATTAGATGTAATTCTTGCCTTTCACAGCTTTTAACCCCTCTGTTTACAATTCCCATCCCCTTGTATATACAAACAAGCCAGCTCAGGATACACTTCACCTGTCTGTGGAAATAGCATCCAGGGAAGCTTATGCCATCATGGATTTGTTTTTCAAGTGCTGTAACAGCTGTGGCATCTTAGAGAAGAAGGTTGCAGTGAAGGTCTGTGGAACTTAATTTCAGAGGGTAGCCATGTTGGTCTGCAGGAGAACAACTGGACGGGTCCAGAAGCATCTTAATGACCAACAAGATTTGCGTTCAAAGAGTCAAAGCACCCCTCACGAGATACCACCAGAAGAAGGGAGCTTTGACTCTCAAAAGCTTATTCCCCCCCCTGCCCCCCAATCTTGTTGGTCTCAAATCTAGTTGTGGAACTTAAGGCAGACTTCATTGTATATTTTACACTGTCGCTTTAATTTTGTGCTCCAGCTTCTTCATCATGCATAATACAACATTTCACCACATTGTTTACCAATCTTGTAGCCCTGCTCTGTTTGCACTATGCTGTGTTTTTAGCGCACTGCTCTCTAAATTCCCTGGTTGTATTTGCTATATTTATTGTATTGCTTCTAGTTGCAACCTTTCTCAGCAAGAAAGGCACACCATAAATGAAATAAATGAATTAGAGCCGTATGAGTAAAAAAAAGAAGAAAAAAAGAAAAGAACCCTGCCCCAAAGACCCTGCAGTCTAAATTTATACTGCATTTGCTTTGGGTGGTGGGACCAGGAAAACAAAGAAGGAATGTGAAAAGGAGAGCTTGATATATATATATTTTGGAATAACAATTTTTATTACTTTTATAAATAACACTAAAAGAGTGCTTGATTGAATTTAAACAAGCTAAAGATCACAGAACTGAATATGTTATATGCAGCGTTGTTATATCATTAAGCTGTTCTACATCTTTAAAAGTTCAATGACAATCAACTAGCAGCGACCAGGAGATCACAGCAGTACTTGCTGAACTAAAGTAGAGCATTGCTGGGAGACCCAGTGGGTAAAAGCAATCACTGACACAGCATACACTCTGGAAAAGCATTCTATTACCCGTGACCTTTTAAAAAGCTGTATATTGCCTTTTGGTGGATTGACAGATGTAAACCCTTTCCCCATTTACCTCTATACACAGTGCCTATTGTCTCAGTTTCTTGGGGAAAGGTGTATCATTTAGACAGCAAGTCTGGTTGATTAGGTGGTTCATACAGTAATTTTTAAATGCTTCATAGTGGCCTAAATATACCATACCATTCTAGTCGGCAATTCTTTTTTTAAAAAAAAATATCAAAGTCTTAAAATGGCCTTATTGCACTAGTACCGAAAAGCTGACTAAGCCATTTCCTATACTTAAATCTTTCCAGATCACAAAATCAGTATCTCAAAACATTAGCACAAAGCCAGAGTCCAAAATCACCCAATGCAGTAGCTGTTTTGAAACTCCTTATTTTGTATCAGTGAGGAATGAGGCAAAAAAATTCCAACATATATGTTATCCCCCATGTACTTCCCAGTGGTGACAGAATCATAGTTCCACTTATGAGTTCTGAATGCTCTTTCTTATAGCATACCCATAAATATAACAATACTTCAACTTCACTACATTCAGTATCCGAGACCAATTTACTCTAATTATTTCTAAACCGTTCCAGAATAACCTTCAACATATATGCTACATAATAATTGTACACATTCAGTGCACCTAATCCTCCATTCTCTCTTGAAACGTGAAGAATTTGTTTTGTTTAAGAACGTGAAGAATTTGTCTTTGCCCCATATAAATTGTTAAATCTTTTCTTCTTTTCAGACATAATAGGGGTATTATTAATGGTTATGGCGGTGGTGGAAAGTGCTGAAAAGTTGCTAAAAACTTATGGTGCACCATTGGGGTTTTCAAGACAAATGACACTCAGACCCATCAGCATCTTTGTTGCATTGCGCTGGGGGTTGGACTAGATGAACCTGGAGTTCCCTTCCAACTCTATGATTGCAGAGGTGCTTTGCTGTTGCCTTTGTGTCACAACCCTAGTATTCCCCTGGTGGTCTCCAGATACTGAATAGTGCCAACCCGGCTTAGCTTCTGAGATTTAACAAGGTCAGGCTAGCCTGAGCCATCCAGGTCAGGGTATGCTATGTCAGTCCCAAGCCGCAGCCTTATGCGGCCTGGAACTGAGATATCTACGGGACCACCTCTCCCCATAGCCCTGAAGAGCCTTGCGCCTGGCAGACAGCCATCTGCTGGTTGTCCCAGGCCCCTGTCTGGTGGAACATGCTTCCGATTGAGATCAGGGCCCTGCGAGATATGTTACAGTTTCGCAGGGCCTGCAAAATGGAGCTGTCCCACCAGGTCTTTGAGTGAGGCAGCGGGCATCTACCAGCTGGCCTCCCTATTATTATTGTTGCTGCATGAGGCCACTATGGATCGGCACTGGCCTACTCATTTCCTGGCAGCAGGAACTGAAACTGAATATACTGCACTGCCCACTTTAAACGTTTTAAATTGGTTTTACTGTATTGATTTAATATGGCTATTTATTGTCTGATTGACTTTTTAAAGATAATATTACATTTATTGGTGTGAGTCGCCATGAGTCCGCTTGCGGGAAGGGTGGGATATACATCGAAACAATAAATAAATAAATGTCGTGAATATAATCAATAGCCTTAGTAAGACCTTCAAACTTAAGAGTTAGGCAACTCTGCCTAACCGTGGTATATTCCACCTTGACAATTTCCATTTTCTTTGGTTGACTGATTACCACCCCAGCTACTACTTGGCTGGAGTTTGCTTCTCCCAGTCCTGTTTCAACGGCACACTGGCCAAAAGACATTATTTTCCACAAGAGAGCAATGGTATCACAGATTCATTAGTGCAACTCATTCTTACCTGCACTGCCTTTAACTGCTGGGTCTGCAACACTGAGGATTGGGCAGCGGGGCTGACCAGCTGGCTTCCCGTCGTTAAGGAGGAAACACCAATGACAGGCTTCACCTCTGACCTTCCCCCAATTGTCACCACTTTGAACTGCTGCGGGGTAACTTTGGAGTCGCTCACTTGTGCCTGTGACGTGGCTTTCTGAGACTGGGGCAGCTGGTTGTGGGGTAGCGCCAGGACTATGGGCTGCCCGGGCTTCCCCAGAGTTGTGACGATAAGCTTCTGCCCTTCCTGTTTTATTGTCTGATTGCCAATTTTCAGGTCCGTCGCCTTGTTTAAAATTATCTGGTTGGCTGATATGGTGACAGGAGTTTGAGCACTGAGCTTCTGGAGGCCACTTTGAAAGGAAGATTGCAGAGCCAGGCCGGAGTCAATTTTTGCAGTGGCAGTGTTCCCCATGACGTGGCTCACGCAGTTGCTGGGCACCGTGACGGTCTCTGTGGGGACTGACAATGCAGCAGTCGTAGATTCTCTCAGTGAGCTTATATTTGTCACTTCTTCAAGTTCCGTTTCCATGGGAATGGAGTCACCCATGGGGGACGACACAATAACGGCCTCGATGTTCTCATCGTCCTCCAGCGTAATACCCGTGTCCATGATCTCCTCTGGGAGCAAGCTGTTCACCTCTGCCGACACCACCTCCATATTGAAAATGCTGATGGAGGGTCAAAGACGAGGCGCTGCAATGATATTTTTTTAAAAAATTCAGTTTCTCAACTTGACAATTATATGCAACTTGAAGGGTAACACATCACTGCAGGAGACCACATCACTCTGGAAGTATTGGCTGTGGCCAAAATATGGCAGGACAAACATGGATCCTCCACTACTACGCCCATCAAGAGTGGCTAGGACTGCAGAAGTTGGCCGCAGCTTAAGATTGTCCCTACGAAATGAAACTCTTGACTGGGTTGCAGAGAGCAAATTATTGTAAAACGCCTCTGCCATGAGGGAGCTTTTTAAAGAACATCTGATGCTGGCACTTCTTACAGACTAGGTACTTGCCTGGTGTACGGCTGAAATACGGAAACAAAGAGTTCCATTTAATGTAGTTACCTGAATTGCTTTTAAACCTTGTTCCACTTCAGACCACCTCCGGCAGCAATATAGCACAGCACCATCTGTTGGGAGCAAAGATGAAGAATTAAATTCAGAAGAGCTGCTCTCTACAGAGCCAAGCCCCTACCACCTCGACGCTTACCGATACGTGATTTCTACTGAGTGTAGACAAGTAAACATCACTGCCAAATATAGAATTCCAGAGCTATACACAGCCAGCCATATTTTCATGAAAAAAGAAGCAGAGAATGGTTCCTTCATTCAGCAGTGGGTAAGAACAGTGCCAGCGACTGCAGAAAGAACCGTGTGGAGAGCACAGTTCAGTGACCCTCTTGGCTAACTGTTTTAACACCTTCAGTGAGCCATTGGAGCATCAAGCCAGGCGTAGGGACTTATTTTGAAGCAAATGATTTCATTTCTCCCTTTCTGAAAAATGCTGCAGAGAGAAATGTAAAAGAACAGCCAAGCTAGGTAGGGTGGCTTTTTTTTTGGAGGGGGGGGGGAGAAATTTCATGTACCTCAAGATGGATTTGCTGGAGGCAGCAATTATATTGCAAGTTGACTTTTCGTAACAGTGCCAAACGGTGTCGTGAATCTCAGTTCATTTCTGCTTTTGCCAGTTCCCCCCCTCCCACTGCAGTCCTTTACACCTTTCCCCTCATGTTCCCTGGGGCCACCTATACACCAGGAGCAGCATTCTGTGGCAGGAGGAAGCCGGTAGCCTAAGGAAAATGTCTCCGGTCCCCAAAGATTTATGGGATCCAAATCTTCCAGTTTACCAAATGTTTAAGATTGTGTCTGAACTCAATATAGAGACACGTTTCACTTCTACACAAGAAAATGCTGCACATTAGAATGGTTAAGACAGTTCGGACTAACGCCAGGCGTTTTACGAACAAGCCTCTAGTTCTTCCCCCTTAACGATTCCTAGTTATCAACAAACTGTGACAGCCAGGAAGCGCAGAGGATACAAGAGGAGAGAGGGTGACTCATGCAGAGACAGAGGAGAAAGCCTCCTTTGAGGAAAAAGTGCTTTGGCTGCAACTTTACATTAAGAGGAATTTAATGATTTATTAAGCCTCTGCCGCAGACTATCACCTGCTTGCAGCAGAGGCTGAGTGGAAGGAGGCAAGGTCAAATAAATCATGCAGAGACACAATGGGCAGCCCTCCCATGGGCAATTACCTCGGGTTTTGATTGTCTGATCTGCTCATTGTGGGAATTACTCGCTCAGAAGTAATGCAGCAGGGCCCCGGCAGGATATAACACAACATTATCAACCTTTCCAAGTAATTTAGAGCCGTTTAACAAGAGAGGTGCCTCAGGGCCACCCCCCCTTGCCTCATTCCATCAGCGCTTTTCTTTCATACAGGGCCACTTCCCCACCTCCTGACTGTACACAGCACTCCTGCTGGGTGCCAGCAACAGCAGCGCTTAGCTCCTCAAAACCTGGAATTATAAATACCTGAGCAGGCCACAGCCAGGCCATTTATCCAAGATCCCCATGCATAATTAAAGGATTACCGCTTTAGAAGGTATTCTAATGCATTAATGAAATACTGCGGGCTTTGTTCGTTGATTGCAAAAAGCCGTTCTGAGTCTCAATTTGTATCGTTTTATGACTAACGGCCAGAACCCATCACGGAATAAGTGGAGTTTATTCATCCATGAAGCGCACAAGGAAGGGGGGATGGATTTTCCCAGATGAACGGAAACAATCACCACACACAAGATCAGGAGACAGAGAGAATAAATAAATGCCTTTTATGACACAGTATTTAAGTCTGATAAGTTGGGTTTTTTTTACAAATACAAACCCTCAGAAAAATCTCGATTCCAGGGTGTCATGACCTCTGCCCAGCCCAGGGACCTCTGACTGCTCGGGAGAAGAGAACGAGGAAGACCGGAAGGATCGGGACTGCAGAGGTGCCTGCAACGTTCCGGGCAGAGTCAGAGGCCCCCTTGCCAGAGCCTGCAAGGGAGACCTCACCACCAGCACCACCAGAGGCAGGATGCAAACTCAGGCCCATAGCCCCCGCAATGGGATGCTCTCACTCTGCAGGAACGGCAGCGGCAGCAGAAGGCCTGAACCAGGGTGCCCCCAAGGAGATGTGCTTGACTGGCTGCGTGCAACCCAGATCCCAGAGTCAGCCAGTGAGAACAATAATTCTCTGCAGGACCATGGCAAAAGCACAGGGCAGCCACAGGAGCTCAATGCCTGCCAGCGAGGCAACTGAGCCTTACTGCTTCCCAGCCTATTTAGGCTGTGGCTTGGGAAGGCTGCCTTGCTGGATCAACCAGTCTACTAGGTGCAAGCCCGTGTGCCACTCCAGCTACTTGCCTCCAGCTCCAGCTCCTGGATTCTAGCACCTATTGACGCTCCCAAGCCTCGCTATCTAGACCCGAAGGCACTGCTCCATAGGTGACCCAGTGGGGCAAGTCTGCAGAGCGCAGGACAGAGTGTCTGTGTTTTGTTTTTAACACCCCAAATTCAGGGGCTGATCTGACCAAGGCAACACAACTCTTGCTTTCAGACCAGATCTAACACATTGTACAAGTCTGAGATTTAAGCCCACCAAGGTTTATGAGCGGCTTATTTGAAAATAGCTGCCACAACTCAAGGACACATTTACATCAAGTATATTAGTGACATCAACTAACATTAACTGAACTGGAGAATACGAACTAACTATGCCGGATGCTGACGGGGGACATTTTTGGGGAACATCTATCATGGTCACCGGGTTGTTATTGTCACCAGCACTTTAGTTTTTGGGGAACATCTATCATGGTCACCGGGTTGTTATTGTCACCAGCACTTTATTTTCATTGTATTCTATTGTTGAGCTATGCTTGTTATGTTTGTGTTTTAATGTGTTTTTAACCCTTATCGTAAGCCACCCTGAGCCTGCCTGTGGTGGGGATGGCGGGATAAAATTTGAATCAAATAAATAAATAAATAAATAAATCCCTGTATCTGGATAAAACAAAAAACTCCCCCAGAATGGGTATTCCTTGCCCCTGTACTTATTTGAGTAATTGAGTGTTCCAATCTAGCCATTCCCTTCCTCCAGTATACAAAAGACAAACAACATAGCACCAAGCAGTGATCACCCTCACCAACTGGCAGATGCTCTAAAACAGGGGTGTCAAATCTATGGCCCATGGGCCAGAACTGGCCCATGAGTGGGGCTCTCTTCTCCCCCTCCTCCCCTGCCCGTACTCACCCTTCTGAGCTCAAGCTGCTGCTGAGTACAGGGAGCAGAGGGTGGGACTGCCCAACTTCCAGCTCCCTCAGCCTTTCTGTGTGTTCCTCTGCCTCTCAGCCACCACTCCAAGCCTCCAGCCTCCTCCTCACAGGTAGGGGCCATGGGGTGTCCTTCTGCTGTGATCCCTTGTGCTTCTACTTGATGTTTGATTTTAAAAACTGTGTTGCCAAATCCCACTATCCCCCCCCCCACCTTTCCATTTTAGGCAGGTATCTTTTAAGGGTGGGGGGGAGGTTTGGGGCCAACTGCAGTTAAAATGTAGAGTTCTACATACTGAAGGAACTCCAGTTTTGCACAGAAATATTAGTTTTAGCACAGACACCCCCCAATGTGGGGCTCCAGGGGCCGGCCTGACAAAATCCCATTTATGTCAGAACCGGCCCTTATAAACAAATGAGTTCAACACCCCTGCTTTAAAACATGCAAGGGCAAGATGGTACCATTCACCGATCAACAAACTTTTAACAAAAAACTGTATAGCGTGGTAATTTACCTGGAGAAGGAAAGTGTTGTGCAAGATATCTACTTAAAATTGCTTCATGCAAACTTACCAACCCATCTGAAGATAAGCACCAGCTCTCTTGGGTGAAAGCAAACTCTTCAAATTCCAAACTGGTATGCCACAACTTAACTGCCAGCCAGAGAAAACATCACACCCTCCATTATATGGGTTCCATTATAAAGGGGAAAAGTAACCTATGAGTTAGACTGTTTTCAGGGAAGCCGAAAATGTTTTGGTTACATTTCTACTTGGACAAAAGGCTTAAACCAAGTTATCACAGGGAAGGGGTTGCCCAAGGAGGAATAATAAAACTTGACCAGATCTTTAGGAAACAGCTACGTAACAGTGCACATACAGAAATAATTCAAAGATGCCAAGTCTGACCCAATAAAAACTTTTACTTTTTCCTCTGGCAAATTCAATGTTACTTCAATCAAGAGAAGTTTTAAAATCAACATACAGAACATTTATTTACTATCTCCAAAACCTGTTTCAACTTTCACATTCCCCAACTGCATTTTAACATTAAAAATACAGTGATATCTAATCACAGGTCTCCCAAAAAATGCATACTTCAGTCCTCAAACTCTTGCTGAGCAAAGCACAGTGTGTGCTTCACAGTTTTATAGTTCACATTCCGCTGAAAACAGTAGTGAAGACATATGCCTTCAGGTTTATCATACAGAAATTCAATTACGCGAATTAAAACTGCACCTGCTTAAACTCTTGAACATCCACAAGCAGCTCCGCTTATTCCAGTGAAAAGTCAGCAATGTGAAGCTATGGCCCTTCTAACACGTCATTTCTACACATAATTCATTTCTATTTCTACATTCCCTCTTTTCTTGAGTGACCTCAGGAATAATTTAGCATTATGCTACCACTGTGTTAAAGAATCTGGGAAATGCAAAGGGCGATCAAGACAAATTAAATCAAATCCTCTGACTTCTTATATTAAAAACAATAAAGCAGAAATAAAGTATTGAAACAAAGGGGGGGTACCCTAGTGCTCAGCTAATTACAGTGTGTTTCTCAGACACAGCGAGGATTTTTTTCTTTCAAATGCAAGGGGCTCTTCCATTGGCTTTTGCATCAGAGGAATGTGCCACAATTGGAATAGGGGGAGCGGTAGGATACAATTCAATACAGCCCTTGAAGAAATATCAAATGATCTCAAGCTGGGTATTTGAAGGCTCAAACTGCACCTTACTGGAGAGGTGAAGTTCTATAAAAAACAATCCTCATGAAAGAAGAATACAAACAACAAATGAAGAACTGAAGTGCTAAAAAA